TCCGCAAGCCCGGCCCTCTGGGTGGATGTCCCCGGTCACGTGTGTCCCACTGTGGCCCTGTGGCCCTTCCCTGCCCCCGGTGACCTGAGGCTCCCGGACTCCCGGGGGGGTTCTGTTCGTTTTCATCTCAGTGCCGTGCTGATCCGAGGATCCACCCAGCCTCATCCGGGGGATGTGTGTCCCAGACCAAGCGCCTCCAGGTCTCACCGTTCTTTCAAAGTTTAAATTCAAATTTAGTTTGAAGCTGGTGTCAATTTTTGATGGGTCAAGCGGTGTTGTGATTCCCAACAGAAAGCTGATTGACACTCAGATGTCATGACCTGACTGTTATCAGGTCAAACGGCGGCTTGCGCTCTGATTTCCTAACCTTACAGCCCCGGCCTGTGGCTGTTTTAAAGCAGCGGTGTGTATCTGCTGGCTCCTGGCCTGTGGATCGAAACGCCGGGGGGGAGCAGGCCTGCTGCAGGCCGGAGCGGAACACCAGCCCCTTGGACAGGCCCGGCTGAAGAGCACAAGGCCGCTAGCGAGCGAGAGCAGCCCCGCGGGCTCAGCGCTCTCCCTGGGCCTCTCTGTTGTTGTTACTGCTCCTCCGAGAGGACTCGTACTTCCTGCTCCCCAAGACACCTGGCCTGTCGCCTCCCCAGCTCCCCAGCTGGGGAGAGTGCACCAGCGGCCGCGAGGAGGACGCGGAGGTGACGGCACCATAGAGTCCAGGAAGGGCAAACAGTGGTGGTAGCTACTGCCCCCTAGTGGTAGGGGGTGCTACGGTGCGGTGAGGTAGTCACTCGTCAGAATGAAACAGCCAGCTGCTGTTGGTCCTGGGAGCACCAGACCTTTTGCCTTCAGAGGGTTTAGATCTTAATCATCTGCAGCACCTCAAATTCAACAGATGACATAATGGGTGTGGGTATGTGTTCATTTGTGTCTGTCTATCTGTGTGTGTGTATGCGTTCATTTGTGTCTGTGTGTCTGTGCGTGCATCTACAGTATATACACATCTGTGTGTGTCTGTGTGTGCATACAGTATGCATGTATGAGTGCGTGGGTACATGTCTGTGCATGTGTGTGTCAATAAGTGTTTATGATTGTGTATCTGCCTCACTATTTGCATATGTGCATATGAGTGCGTACGTGTCTTTGAAGTGCAACAAGAGTCTCTGTCCCTTGGGGCTCACTGGGGCCTCTCAGTCTGACACACCTGCTAATGTAGCTCCTGAATGTCCCCAGTTGTCAGACACAGGTCTCTGGAGAGCGGCTTCGGCAACATCTGCCTAATGACTGCTGAGAGCCTGGTGATGGTGCTTTGCTGTAGCACCAGATCTCAGCAGGAAAATGATCTTACAACCAGAACGGCAGCATACACTGCATATCTAGAGTTTCTAACTGCTTCTGCAGAAGGTTCTGTGCCCATGGAACTCCCCAGGGACTGAAACTAACAACTAGCCTGTGCAGTAAGAGATTTTGGTAAATACTTCTTTGATGTAAATGCTTCTTCTTAAAAAACATGACGTTCGCACAGGTGGGCCGGATGCGTTGGAAATATCCAGCCCACCTGGATATTGAGTATAACCCAGTGAGGCTGTGGGGCATGGATGCAGAGCCCAGATCGTACTGACACAACCCTCTTCTGGAGCAGACCAGAGCTCGGCCACTACTGGCTACTGCTCAGCACGTCCGCAACTAGACTGCTGTTGCCGTCGGTCCCAACAAGGGCTGAGCATTGTGAGGCGCAGTTCTCATCGCCCACCACTTGGGGGTGGAGCTGTGGTGTCCCGCCCTCTGGCTGTGATGGGGGGGTCAGTGAGGGACAGCGTGGGGGCTGGCCTTGTTGTGGAAGAGGCAGCCCTGCCCTGCCCTGATGAAACCAGGAAGAAGATAGCACACATTCCTGGCCGCTCTCCAGCACAGAGCTCTAAACGTTCCTCGGGCGTCGTTTCTTGCCAGAATGCTCAAATAAAATAGATAAAATTAATAATCTGAATGACCCGCTGTCCAATCAGTATTAAAAGAGGTAGGAAGTATTAAAATCTGGCTGGTCTCTCTTCCCTGCTTGACCAGGAGCAGGTTAGACCCCTGTCTCTTGTACAGTAGATGGTAGAATAGAGTTTACTGCCTTATGTACATGTACAGTCCCTTAGAACTCTTTTTCACACTGTTGTCTACAACAGACCACACCATACAATGTAAAAAGTACATTACAAACATAATAAATAATAACAACAGAACAATATGCTGTGGAGAACAATTAATATATAGTAGTAGTGAAAAAAACAGGGTAGACCATGCAAACAGTGCATTAGTGCAGGCAGTAGTGTTCGACTGAAGAGATGACAGGAGACAGCCTGCTCTGATTTTG